AAATAATTCATAAATTTTTTTAACCGTAACGAAGGTTGAATAATAATAATGATAATGATGATGATGATGATGATGAGTTAATTATTTGCACAAATTAATATTTTTAAATCGCTTTTTTTTTTTTGTTTTCGGGGAATAACTCCGCGCATATTCATTATTTAAATTCATACGTAACATTCGTCATAACAATTATCATCATCATCATCATCATCATCATCATCGTCATCGTCGTCATTGTCGTCATTGTCGTCATTGTCAAATATCAACAGCGAAATGACAATTTAATAAAATGCTGTCGTACGCGTAAGTGAATAACCGTAATTGACGACGTTTCAATGATGTGAATGACACTTTTATGAAAAAAAAAATTTTTTTTTTTTTTTTTTTACCTTACATTTAATCATCATCATCATCATCATCATCATCATCATTATCATTATCATTATTATTATTCCGTACGCGAATTTTTTTTCCGTTTAATTTAATTATTATTATTACGTACGCGAATTTTTTTTCCGTTTAATTTAATTTTATAAAATGCTGTCGTTGTTTTTAGAAAAAAAAAAAAAAAAGAGATTATTATCATTATTATTAATTATCGATCCGAAATGGAAAGTTCTGGAGAGTTAAGTTAAAATTATTATTATTATTTTTAAATAAAAACAGGAGCGGACTAAGAAAACGTAGAAAGAAATTATTAACGCAAACAATACTTTGAAAACTATCGTGAAATGTTTTATTTTTCGTCGTGTCAAAATGCCCCTCCCCCTTCCTCTCTTTTTTCCTCCTCCTCCCTCCCTCCGCTTTTGTATACAATTCGTGAAGTTAATACTGTAGGATGACGTCATTACCAAATAAATAAATAAATAAATAAAATTTTATTTTACGAATTCCGACAATTATGAAATTATTAACTTTTTTTTTTCTGTTTGTTTTATTTCTACATAAATCGTGACGATTTTTATTATTTATTTATTTATTTATTAATTAATAAAATAAATCGATCTAATTAAATAACAATAATAATAATAATAATAATAATAATAATAACATTAACGAAAGTAACGCGAATGAAAATTACGTAATTAAAAATCTAAATAGAATTAATTTTATTAATCCGTTTTAATTTTTTTTTTTTTTAAATAAAATTTTATTAATACCCTATTATTATTATTATTATTATTTTAATAACGAAATTATTATTATTATTTTAATATTCGAAAGGTTCGCTAAGACATTAATTACTTATTTATTTATTAGTTTCGTAAATGGTAAAAAAAAAAAAAAATACATAAGTGGAATTTATTAAAATTTAGTTCAACGATATTATTCGTTGGTTTGGTTAGTTCCACGACGTTCGTTCGTTTTTTTGCAATTATTATTATTATTATCATTATTAATGACATTAAGGTAAACAACACCTAATTTTAATTATAAGGTAAAAAAAAAAGTTTATTTATTTATTTATTTTTAAAATGGCGGCTGTTTTTTGTGTGTGCTATACGACAAATTTTTTATCGATGAATTTTCCAGAATTAAAATGGGAATACCTGGAACCTGGGGAGGGAACAAAGGGGGGATAGAGAAATTTATTGGAGGGTTAATCACATACAACGAAAATTTTCAAAATGATCCTACGAGACGTTTAGAAATTCGTTTACGCGAAACCCTTTAAAATTTTCTATTATTTATATTATTATCATCATCATCATCATCATCATCATCATCACCGTCATGATCATCATTATCATCGTAGAAAAAATAACATAAAAAAAAATTTCGTATCATGAGGAAGTGTGTGTGTAAATGTTTATTATGTAATAGTAACAAACGCGCGTACAACACGTAAGATTTTTTTCATAAAAAGTTATGTAAAAAAAAATTAACTTTAAAACTTTATTATTATCATTATCATCATTATTATTAATTCTTTCTGGAATTCGAAATCGTTTGTGATACCTGGAAAAACCCTTACGAAAAAAAAAAACATCCAAACTCCATGTTGTGAAATTTTAACTTTAATTTTTGTAACGCTCTTCTAACCCGTTTATTATTATTATTATTATTACGTATCTTAAATAAATCCTTATTATTATTATTATTATTAAAATTTATTAATAACGGTAAATAAATAAATAAATAAAAACGTACCTGAAACGTAAAAGTTTTCCTTTTGTTTTGTTTACACCGAAACGATTGATAATGACCCGATAGTTTAAATTAATTTAAAAAAAAAAAATAAGGGCACAGCAGAAGACAAAAATTTATTTATAATAATAATAATTATTATTATTATTATATTCACTCGAAAAAAAAAATTAAAAATAAATAAAATAAATAAATAAAAACTCGCGATATATCGAACAGAATAATATAATCGAAACTTTTTTTTTTGTTTTTAATATTAACTAACCGACTCGCGGAGGTGTGCGCACCTAAGCCGAAGACATTTCACTTTCAAATCTTCTGCTAGGCATTTAAAAAAAAAAAAAAGAAATAATAATAATAATAATAATAATCGTCTTGGTTTGGTAACAACCAACAACCGAGGGACGGTCAAAAAATACTTTTTAAATTTTTTTTTTTTTTTTTACCTTATTATAATAATAATAATAATGGAATACTTTCTAGATAAAAAAAAATTCTCGTTTGTTTGTTTGTAATACGTCATCGATCAATCGATTAATCGATCGATATATCGATATATTGTTTTAAGTCATTATTATTAATTTTTTTAAAAAAAATTGTTAAGGGTTATCATCAATAAATAATTTTTTTCGTAAATTTTACCATTCTCCTCCTCCTCCCCACCATTTTCCGCCATTTTGTTTTAATTTTTAATTTTTTTCATAATAATAAAAATTTTTCAAGGTTGATGATGATGATAATAATGATATTTAATTTTAGAATTAATAAATAAATTATAAGGTTATTAATTGGATTAATAACAATTTTTTTTTTATTATTTTTGTTCGTTGTTGTAGGGAACCGTGAAAATCGTCACGAGGTCACGTTACCGAAAAATTTTCAAAGGGAAACGACAGGAAAATAAGTTTGCTCCTTTCTGATGCTGTAACTGATGACGTCAACAACGATGATGATGATGATTATGACGAAAAGGTAAAAGTTTTTTTTTTTTTTTTTTTAAAAATCCCTTAAGGTTGTAAAATAGGAAATTTATCTTCGGGACATGAATTCACTCCCATATCTTAATTTTTCGGTGAAAGGTGATTATTATTATTATTATTATCATTATTATTCTCGCGTTGAGAGAGTGAATAACTTTTTGATCGATTCTTGTCTTATATTTAAAAAATCGTAATAACTTTGCGTAAGTAGTTGTAGTAACTATGTTAGTTAGTAACTCGTTTTAATTTTTTTTTTTTGACGTTACAACAACAAAAAATTTGGGCTGTAGCGTAAGGTACCTAAAAAAATTGTCGGCCATTTTGTTTTTTTTTTTTTTTAATCCCCGAGAGAGATGCGGGAAAAAATTCCATACGATTCCAGAATAAAATTCTGGAACGACGATTATAAAAAAAATGGCATTTGCGACGATGGAAAATTTTCCGGCAAAAAAAAAAACAAAAAATTGTCGCGGTTTTAAATTAAACGTAACGAATACGTAATGTGCGTTAATTATTATTATTATTATTTTTACGCGGGAATTTCAAATTTTTTTCGAAATAATAATAATAATAGTTAATTAGAGAGTGTTTGGAAAAATATCGGTTCGTCCCTTTATTGTTTTAAATTTTAAAAACGAAAAAAAAATTATTATTATTATTGATAAAACATAACCTAAGACAAATTTTAATGGGGTGGGGGATAGGGAGGTGGGGATGGGGGTCGACGTGTTAAAAAAACGAACAACTACAACAACAACTTGTTTTTTTTTTTTTTGCAAACAAACGAGAAAAACTTTCTACAAAAATTTTTTAGCATTAAATATGATTCATAATAGTTATTATTTGTTCGTGAAAGTAGATTCGGTTAAAATTTTTTTTTTCTAAGAAAACAAACGGTTTGTTTTCTCTTACCCCTTTTCCCCTCCTTATATCCCCCTCCCCTCCTACTTCGTTCCCTTCCCACACATCGTTTCTACTAAAACAAACAATTTTTTTTGTTCTTGTCGTATATGTCAATTTTTTAAACAAACAAACAAACAAACGGGTGCGTGCGAATGACGAAAAACCAATACGTTAGTTTTATTAAAAAAAAAAAAATTCGTTTGTTTGTATTCCCCGTTTGTAAATTTTTTTCCCTACAAATTTCTGGATGTTCTGGATATTCTGGATTTGAATCCAATATGGCGTCGGGAAATTAAAAATTTTATTTTATTAAATTTAAAATCATTTTCCAAATCGTTTGATAAAAATTTTTTTTTCTGGTTTTTCCGGAGTTTTTTTTGAATCATTATCATTATCATTATCATCATCATCATCATCGACGTTTATAAATAATAATAATAATAAAATAGTACAAATTTGAATTTCGGGTTTAATCGCGAGTGACCCAGTTTTAATGTTTTTGATTAAAGAAAAAGTTATGAGACTTCTACAACTACTATTACTACTCAGGTACATTAGGTTGGGGTTAAAGGAAAATTTTCGTCTGCTTTAAAAAAATGGCAATGAAAATAATAATAATAATTCGTTGGCAAAATAAATAATATATATATTTTTTTTCAAATTGAAAAAAACCGAGTTAAAAAACTATAGCGCGCGCGCGCGCGCGAGGTATAATAAACTAGTTCCTGAAAGTGAATGCAGGTCATTGGAGTGGTATGAAACCGGGTTTGTCAGGTTCAATGCCTTGTCTCTGACTAATTTTTTTCTTTTTTTTTTTTTTGTTCTTAGACAACAGTTAAACAGTGATATCTTCACTTGGTGATAGCGGTGAATATTCTTTATCGATAAATCCGCGTTGAATTTCTTTCTTTCTTTTATTCGGGTACTCATCGTCATAGTATGAAGTTGTAAAGAATCGACAACAACAAAATGGTTCAAATAACGATGGATTTAATAAATAAAATATTATTATTATTATTTTTAATATCGATTATCGATATAACGGAGTGTTCGAGATCGAAATACGTACCGAAATGGAAAAAACAAGTAAGTGAAATTAAAATTGTTTTGATAATTTTTTATTTGTTCCTATCATCATCATCATCATCATCATCATCGTAATTCCAGGCTTGCGAAATTCCAGCACTTCAAAACGAACACAGTCATTATACTTGCGGTGATAATGGTGAAGTGAAATGTTTACCAGGATGGACCGGTGATGTTTGCGACGTTCCAATTTGTAAAAAAGGTTGCGATCCTCTCCAGGGTTATTGTAAACGTCCCGGAGAATGCAGATGTAAATTGGGTAATTATTATTATTATTATTTTTCCTGGAACTTATTTCACTACTACCGAGGAAGGCATCAGTTTTCCACGAAATTCTAATTTTTTCTCCGTTTTTTTATCGAGGTTTAAATCGACATTGTCATTCATTTAAATACGTCACGTGTTAACACACGTGTTATTTATATATTTATTAATTATCTTAATGGAAGAATTGATTGAGATTGGGGATGTAACGGTACAGATCGAGAAATCTGTTTTTCCAGGTCATGTTGACCCCTACCAATATGAAAAAAAAAAAAAACATGCCGGTTTAATGATTAATGAATTATACCCTTGACCATAAAAAAAAAAAAATTTTTTTTTTTAAAAGGATTAACTGTATTATTATTATTATTATTATTACTTTTTTAATTAGGATTTTATGGAGAATTTTGTAACAAATGCATCGCTTTACCAGGTTGTCAACACGGTTATTGTAATAATAGTTTCGAATGTATTTGCGAAGAAGGTTGGGATGGACTTTTCTGTTCAGAACGTGAGTCTGATAAGAACTTGTAAATTTTGTTGTTGTTGTTGTTGTTGTTGTTGTTGTCGTCACCGCCGGCGGTTGATTAAATTTTCAAATTTTTTTTTTTTTTTTTTAGCAATTTGTAGATTGGATTGTCACGCGACGAGAGGTTATTGCGATTGGCCCGGCGAATGCAGGTAAATAAATTAATTAGGATTATCCTCATGTAATTCTCGGACGTTTCGATTAATCGAATTTACTCTTTTTTTTTTTTATAGCTGTCGATTGGGTTGGTCTGGAGAAACGTGTAAAGATTGTCAAGTTCTTCCCGGGTGTTTGCACGGATCGTGTACGAAACCTTTGGAATGCAAATGCGATAAAGGATATACGGGAATTCTGTGTCAAACGCGTAAGTAAAGCACACGTGGGTGGGTGCGTGCATAAGAGAATTCGGGTTGAAAATTTTAAACCTGAAACCGTGGGAAAAAGTTTTTTTTAACATTTGAAAAACGCCTTAAAATTTTAGTTTAGATTTTTTGAATACGTAAAAGATTTGCAAAAGGTGTGAGCGATAGATTTCGGGAGTGGAAATTGGGAAAGTTTTTGTCATGAGTACGTCTTGTTAAATTTCAGCGATATGCGCGGAAAAATGTCACAAGGAACACGGATATTGTTCGAAACCGGGAGAGTGTCGGTGCAGAGTCGGATGGTGGGGAGACAATTGTGAAAAATGTTATCCTTATCCGGGATGCAAACACGGAACGTGTAAAAAACCATGGGAATGTAATTGCGAAGAAGGTTGGGGAGGAATGCTTTGCGATCAAGGTAATAATCATCACGAGGTATTTAAATAGAGTTTTAAAATGAGAAAAATAATTTTTTTTTTTTCTTGTTGTTGGCAGAACTGACGTATTGTGAAAACAACGAAGGACTTTGCGAAAATGGTGGAACATGCATATCGCTACCGGAAGAAGATGGTAATTATAAATGTTTATGCTCGCAAAATTTTTACGGAGTCAATTGCGAACAAGAAAAAAAAGTAAGTTCAATCATTATTATTATTATTATTTTTATTATTTTATTTTCGCGGGTGAATTTTATATATAAATAATAAATTTTAGCCGGATGAAATGTTTCCGATGCCTATGGTTAACAAAACGGAAAATAAACCCGTACTCGTGACTAGTAAAAAACCCGTCGTTAAAACAACAACGACAACAACAACAACAACAACAACCGCAACACAAACAAATAAAGTAACAACTGAAAAACCGATTTTACAATCTCTGTCAACAACCACAGAGTATAAAAACGAAGTCAATAACGAAACGTGAACATTTAAAAATTTATAAATTTTCATAAATTCATCATAACAATTCATAACAATCATAACAAAACTTTTTCTTTTCGATATGCAACTGCAAAAAAAAACTTCACCCATCGCATTACGCGCACGTTGTTAAAATTGCATAACTTAAAAAATTGCAGGCGTTTTTTTTATTTTGTCATTTCTCGAGTCAAACGTTTAAATTATTTATTCATTCATTTATTTATTTATTTATTTATTTATTAAGTTATTATTTATTTATTTATTTATCAAGTTATTTATTTATTTTATATATTGTTGTTAATATTTATTTAAACTCGTTGTTATTATTTATTACTACAATTAATAAGTTTATTTATTACTTATGTAATATTTATTTATTTATTTATTTATTCGTTCGTTAATAAATAAAAATTATTAAGAAATTTTTTTTTTAAAATAAGATTTATTATTAAAATATTTATTGATACATAATTCCATATAATTATTAAATAGTTGCGTAGGTAAATGTTATCATTTGATAAAATAATAATAATAATATTTCTTCGAAAAGAAAAAAAAATTGGAATAATTAGTACATAACATTTTAAATTATTATTATTTTTTTTCTTGTGTAATTGTTTTCTTTTCTTTTTTTTTTTTATTACTTTAATAAGTTATTAAAATTTTTTAATAATAATTACGTCACGTTAATAATAATTATTTTCATCGATTAAAAACAAAATAAAATTATTAATTCCCCTTTTATTTATTTATTTATCGCAAATTATTTAAAAATATTTCGTAAATTTTAATAAATATTTTCCAGCGCGACAACATAACGAAAAAAAATTCCCCTCTGATAACAAATCAACGAAATCGTTAATAAGAATCGGCTGTAAAAAACAAACAAACAAACAAACAATAGCAAAACAATCAAAACAAAAACAAAACAAAAAAAATTCAATAATAATAATAACTACTATTATTATTAATTTCCATACAAAAATAAAAAAAAATTTTTTCTCTCTCTTTCTCTCTCTTTTTTGTTTCACACACGTATTTTCCTTTCTCTCTCTCTCTCTCTCTGTCTCTCTCTCTTTCTCATAATTCATCATCCGACTTGTTGATTTTTATTTTTTATTATCTTCCTGTACAAAATGTCAAAAATTTTTTTTTATTTTTTCCAGTTTCCTTTCACTCTTATAATATCATAAACTATTTATATATTAATTAACTTCCTCTATTATTATTATTATTATTATTATTATTATTATTATTATTATTATTATTATTCATTCTTCTCCATAGAAATAATAAACTAGTTTCGAATAGAGAAAGAGAGAGAGAGAGAGAGGGAGAGATGATCGTCATCATTTTATTTTATTAATTTTTATTTTATTTGTTTTTATTAATTAATTAATTAATTTTTATTTAAATTTTTTATTAAATGACGTAATCAATACTCTTATCACCCTCACGCGCACTCACGCACACTCACGCATCGGTAAAAAAAAAATAATAATGATAACTTTAAGGGGTTTTGTTTATTTAATGACGTCAATGTAAAAAATTATAAGGAGAAGATAAAATGAAAGGATTTAAATAACCGGATATGATGGAAATTATAAAAGGGGGGGAGGGGTAAAGTGAAATTTTCCAGTATAGATGTTAAAAAAAAAAAAAATGATATCCGGTATCGGTACAAAAAAAAAAATAACCGGTCGTGCGACTTATTTACCGGGTACCAACCAACCACATCGATTCGGTTTCATCTTTCCATCATTTTTTGCGACATCTTTTGCTTTCTTTTTATTACAAAAAAAAAAAAAAATGTTGCAATGATATTAGCAGCAAAAAACTTTTACCAAATTGTGAAAGGTGTCGTAAAAGAAAACGCGTGACGTTTGCGTGACGTTTGCGTGACGTCAAAATTGTGTCTCGAATTAATAAAACCTTCCGATTTTTTATTAAATTTTAATTCCTTCCTTTCGTTATTATTTATAAAAAAAATTTAACGATGATGATATTTTTTTTAAAAAATTGATGACAAACGTCACGCACGTGACGCTCAATTCACAATCAATGGAAAAAATTTTCAACAGTTGAGAAATTTAAATTTTTTTTTTTTTTTTTTATGGAAACACAAACGACGACAAAAAAAATTTCACAATTTTTTCTTTTTTTTCTTTTCCCTTTCGTAATTCAATCGATTCCATAACCGTTAATATCATTATTATTATTATTATCATTAATAAAAATCCATTAAAACAAACGAATTTTTAAGCGGGGGGGAAGGGGGGAAAGGAAAATTTTTTTTAGTCGATCTTTTTTAAAAAAAAAAAAGGTTTCGTCGGCGTTTTAATAACGACCCGTGAGTGAGTGACGTTATCGATAATAATAATAATAATAATAATAATAAAAAGGGGTGATTAAAAACAATGAATTTCGTAATTAATTAATTAATTATTATTATTATTACTACCAACTTACGAAAATAAAAATTTTTTATTATTATTAAAGACATTAAAATTATATGTGTCGCAATGAAATCGAGTTTATTCGATAAAGTTTAAGCAAGACGTTCGTTCGTTCGTTTGTTCGATTGTTTGTTTGTTTGTTTTTCGTTCGAAACCATCATCGTCCGTCCATTAAAAAAAAAAACGTGGAGGGTGATGATTTGTGACGTAAGGATTCGAAGGATCTACTAATTCCACTTTAAAAAAAAAAAAGAAACTTTTTTTTTTAAAAAAAGTTTTCACTCGGGGGAATCGGTGTGCGAACCACACCTCGATCGCACTAGATTAACTGGTTTCCTTTTTCTCGGTGGCTTTCTTATTAATAATAATAATAATAATGATAATAATAATAATAATAATAACTGTGTGTGTTTTTAATATTTAAAATTCGGATAAAAATCAAGTGAAAGTCAAAAATTTCTCTCTCTCTAAAAAAAAAATGAACGCCATATTTTTTTATTTATTTTTAAAATAAAATAAAAAATTATTTTAATACGTCTCTATGGTTTATTCTATTCCCACGTTTATAAAGTGTCATTAGAAAATTAATTAACGAAATTTAAAAAAATTTTTTTGATAAACAAACAAACAAACGAATTAAAAAAAAAATGGCGTTGAAAATTTTTTCATTATTGAAAAGGTTTCAATTAATAAAAAAAATATTATTATTATCATTAAAAGAATTTACATAAATTATAATTTTATAAATAAATAAGTATATTTCCGGTTAATTAACGGAAGAAGTGGGGTTGGGGTTGAGGGGGGAAATAATTAATAATTAGAAAGGTGAAAAACTTGATCCGGTCATCATTTAAAAAAAAAACGAAAAAAAAATTTCAGGAAATTAAATTTTAAACACGTTTAAATACATTAAAAATTTTCTCCAGTTTTTTTCGTTTTAAAAAAAAAATTATCGAAAGAAGGCAAGGACGTTTGTTTGTTTGTTTATTAAACAAACAAACAACAACATATAAAAATAATAATAATTTTTTTTTTTTGTATTTATTATTTACGCAAAAATCATTTCGACATTTTATTATTTTTTATTATAATTTTTTTCTCCAGGACTTTATTTTAATCCGTTAGGAAAAAAAAAAAAAATTATTCGTTGTTTGTTGTTTGTTGGTTGTCGGTTGTTGTGAAATTATTTATTATAATTTTTTTTTTTTTGGGTATATTTTAAAAGTCGTTTCCCTTAACTTTTCCTTTTTATATATATCGATATTAAAATTTAATGATATAATTTATTTTGAGGGTCCCTTTTATCGATTTTTCCATTACCCAATCGAATATAATGATAATAATAATAATCATCATTATCATTATTATTATTATTATTATTATTATTATTATTGTAACGGGATAATAGTAAATTATTCGATGTGAAACCATTGGAAAAATCGACAAATTTCGTGAATATTTTTTTTTTACCCGTGTGGAAAACGTGAGTATGGTAAGGAGAACTGGAGAAAAAAATTTCCAAATCGCGTGATGATAATAATGATAATGATGATCATGATAACAATTGAAAAAAAAAACGCGAAAGTTTGTAGAACTTTGAAAATTTTTTTTTTGGAACACAACAATCAAAGTTTGTTCAATATTTATTAAAATTATGGGAAAAAAATTCTGGAATTTAAAAAAAAAAATTTAAATGACTGGAATTTAAAACGTTGTCATAAACGGTAGCAAATCGAAAGTGGCAGTTGTAGTAGTAGCAAAAAAAAAAAAATTTGCTAATCGATTAATTTAATTTTTTTTTCCAGGGCCTTTTTTTTTTTTTAAAAATAAATAAATATGCTGAAAATGTGAAAACGGTTGTTTCCAGTTTCACGACAACTTTTTCTTTTTATAATTGAAAATAAAAAAAAAAATTGTTAAGCAACGAAAGAGTGAGATAGAAAATATAAATAAAATTATGTGTGCGATTTTTTATCTCTCTCTCTCTCTGAGTGATTAAAGACGATAAAGGAAAATAATATTTTTTTTTTTTTTTTTTATTATGTCGTTCGATTTATATTATGAAATTTAATAATAATTACAAGAGCCATTTTTTTTTAAAATAATGATAATAATGACATTTCACAACCCTTTCCCCCTACCCTCTCCTCACACCACCCCCCACCGAATATTTGATACCAGGAAGAATTTATCGTTTGAAATAAATCGGTAACGAAAACGACGTTCCCTTCGTTCGATTTTTCGTCATGCAAATTTATTATTTATTGTACCATTTCCGTTCGTTTGTTCGGTGCCCTATTACGTCACAACAACGATACAAACAAAATAATCTTTTTTCTTACCGCAAAAAAAAAATAAGAGAGAGAGAGAGAGAGAGAAAAAGAGAAAGAGAGAGAGAGAGAAAGAGAAAAATTATAATTTAATTTAACCCACAAAAAACACACACACGCACCTATGAAAACTAGCGTAAATCCAATGCTTCGGGTGGATTTAAAAAAAAAAAATGATAATGATAATGATGATAATGATAATAATAATAATTCAAAAA